TTTGAACTATCTTCAACTTTGTTTCCTTCATTTTTTTTGCTACCATCTTTCACTCTTCTTTGCATATGTCTTCCTCGTTGCCTCTCTCTTCACTTTTCTTTGCCACCGCTTTCTCTTACCTCCATCATCGAATCCCTTAAAAAGTGCATTATATAGTGTGATAAATTCGAGATTTTTTTTGGATAAATTCGACTTTGAATTCAAAATTCGAATCCATCAGACAGCATATCAACTTAGTGCAATCTTCATATAACTTCAAGCTATTGTCAACACCTAAATTTTGTAGCAAAGATATGCAAGCTTTGTGAATAGAACATCAGTATCCCGAAAAATTATGTTTTAAACCAGGGTTAATTTGTTCAATAACCCAAAAATATTAACAACTAGAGAATGTCCTCGCGTTGCGTAAATTTCAAAATTAATATGATAAAATATGGAATAATTATAGCTTATTGATTATTTGTGTATTTAATATTACAAAAAGTTATTGTTGTAGTAAATAATTATCTAGGTTAGAAGATTAAAGATTTGGACCAAATTTTTAGACATATACAATGTTGTATGTGAAAAAAAATAGACTTATCAGTAATAAAAATTACAGCATATGCTTTATAAAAAGAATCAATACATTAACAAAAAAAAATGGTGTGAGCAGTGTTCTAAAACGCGGGTTAGACGGGTATCTAGGCGGCGCCCAGGCGCTACGCGGATGCCGAGCGCCCCGATTTTAGGTTATTCGGTGATTTATGCGGTTTTTAAAAATGCGGAAGTTTATGCGGTCTAGGCAGGCATTTATGGGATCTAGGCGGACGATTACGCGGTCTAGGCGGATGTTAGGCGGCCATATAAATTTTTTTATTATATTGTAAAATAAAATTGTTTGTCATAATCAATATTTATTTTTAGCCTCTAAGGATTAAGGCTATTAGTTAAATTCATTTTGAAAATAAATATAGACATTATATCTTTTATATTTGTATATATTTTATAAGACTTTTAATTTATATTTTAAGGTTATATACTTATATGTATATTTAAAATAAACTACATGTTCTTCTACATAAGAATTTACTAAATTTAGTATTTGAGACTTCTCATTTCTAAATATAAAATATATTCATGTTTTATTCATTTTATATATAATATATTGTATACGTATATATATATATCTAAAAAATAATTATCCGCCTAGGCCCCGCCTATACTCCTACTTATACGGCTAGGCGCTAGGCTTCTTTTCGCCGTCTAGTAAGCGCCTAGCGCGTTTTAGAACACTGGGTGTGAGAAACCAATAATACTTTAACCATTATATTTTTTTCTTTTTTTGATATCCACCAAAAATTATAATTTCAAATTAAATGTGTTATTGTGAACTTGTAACGGTTTCAAAAATATAAATTTATTTATTAAACACAACAATATACTATAAAAAAACATTTAAAATTTTTGATAGGTAACTACTATTTTAAAACAAAAAGTAACAAAAATAAAGTCACAAAAGTTTTTAATAAAAAGAATCGTTACATTAACCAAAAAAATAGCGTGAGAAAATTAATTAGTGATTTTAAGAATTTTAATGTTGTTAGAATGCTAAAGTTGTCAATCATCTCCTAACCAAAACTCTCGAAAGAAATTCTTACTCCACCACAAATTATGAATAAAAAAAACATAATAATTCACCACATTTTAATATTTGGAATTAACTTATGTTAAACTTAGCTAATAAATTGTAAGAATTAATTGTTAAAATTATTAAAAACACTAATATTTTTCAATAAAAAAAAATTTAAAAGACAAATGTCAAAAGAGTAGATGATACATGACATCCTCTCATGACTTGGGTTTAAAAAAATCTTAAAATATTATATAAGATTAGGCAAGTAACTAAAATTATTTCATGTGGCCAAATAATAGCCTTTAGATTTAGGATATTTGGTTAGGATTTTAGATATAGATTTTTTTATGGGTTATTGATGCCAATTACCCAAACCATAAACTACAAATTACAATCACAAATTTTAGTTTCAATATTAAAGTTACACTTTATATTTTTTTAATATATCTAATTAGATGTTTGTACGCGTCATACATGCTAAAATTTAAAAATTCAAGCAGTTTATATCATTAGTGCATATTAA